AAATATAAATAAAGGTGTTTTAAACCCTTCCCACACTCTTGCAATATTCTAAACAATGTTTTTAAACTATAAACGCTCTAAAAGAGCACAGCATGTCATGACTTCAGCTCCCTGCCTCCGCTGCTTTTTGCCACCTGCAAGCGCTCTTGGCCACGCCCACTTCTCTGCTCTGTACGATGAACAGCTGATCAGCTGCAGTAGAACGTTTATCCTGCAGTGTGGGCTGCACACAGGTGCAGTAGGTGCTAAATAATTTCAAGTAATTTATTTTAAATAAAAACTCCATGACAATCGTGCGGTTCAGCCATCCATCAGCCAATTGTGCGTCATGTCCAACCTTATTTTGAAAAACCACGATACAGCGAGTCCGCGATAAACGAACCGCGAAGTAGCGAGGGACTACTGTACAATGATTTTTTTTCAAATTCAGGTCACAAAATATACATATAAAAATAATTAAACACATAAAACAGAGCAAACAGCTGCTGATCTCATGCTGCTGATTTATTTCATGCTGCTGTGTTCATTCGTACTCATCTGCTCACACAGACTCATGTTCGTGCTGCTGTTCGGTGTATTGTTTTTAGTGCTTAATGTATTTCTTAGTTCATATCTTAGATCTTATTACCGTTTTTCTTTACATTTTATACTTTTGTTGGATTTAACTAGGACCCTGTGTACACAATTTTGTTCCACCACATGTGAATGACAATCAAAAACCTTGACCTTGAAACATGTTAAAGTTGGCTCCTAAACTGAGATGTTAAACCCTAACAGTAAAGATTTAGCCTCACAGATAGGTTTTTAAACCGTACGCAAAAAATAAAGTTAATCTTGTCATCGAAGGACAAACAGTTAAAAAACAGCAGCACTGTGAAGATCTTAGCGCTGCCGCAGAAGACATTTTATCCACTGGTGAGGTTTTCCCGACACCGTTTGGTGTCACGTCACTGTTAAAGGGACTCATAAAGATCAGATAAAAATTTACACCCAAATAAATAAATTAATTTCTTGAATCAATGGTTATTTTGTGCATACATTGAAAGAATTGTAAGCTAAGTTTGTGGCTACCTGACACCTACAGATACAATATGGTAGAAAACAATCATCTTTTTCAGAACTAGACCAGTAGCTTTGATTGTGTTTCAAGTCATAATTTATTCAGTAGTCTAATATTAGAGGTGACGCTTGGAGGCTCTTCAGCCTTACAACAAACATCTCCTACACAAACAACTTTATTTTGAAATTAACAAGCACACAAATTCATACAAATACAGCAAATGACTTCTTTCTAAAACAGACAGGTGTCGAATACGCTGCCTGGCCCAAAAACAAGTCGCCACCAAATAAAAAGGTCACACACTAATATTTTGTTGGACCACATTTAGCTTTGACTGCATCATGCAATCTCTGTGTCTTTGTTTCAATAAACTTCTGCAATGTCACAAGATCTATTTCCATCCAGTGTTGCATTCATTTTTCACCAAGATCTTGCACTGATGACTAAACACTAGGCATGATGGGTGCATCGCTTCACCTGCCTCTCTTCTTACCCTGATGCACCCATCACTCTGGAACAGGGTAAACCTGGACTCCTCAGACCACATGACCTTCTACCGTTGCTCCAGAGTCCAATCTTTATGCTCCATTGCAAATGAAAGCCTTTTTTTTCCAGTTAGCCTCATTGATTAGTGGTTTTCTTAAGGCTACAAAGCTGTTCAGTCCCAATTCCTTGAGTTCCCTTCACATTGTGTGTGAGGAAATGCTCCTACTTTCACTATTAAACACAGCCCTGAGTGCTACTGTTGTTTTTCTTTGATTTGATTTCACCAAACGTTTAAGTGATCGCCAATCACGATCATCCAGGATTTTTTTTTCTGGCCACATTTCTTCCTCAAAGACGATGGGTCTCCACTATCCTTCCAGTTTTTAATAACGCGTTGGACAGTTCTTAACCCGATTTTAGTAGTTTCTGCAATCTCCTTAGATGTTTTCTCTGCTTGATGCCGATGATTTGACCCTTCTCAAACAGACGGGACATCTTTTCCACGACCACGCGATGCATCTTTCAACATGGTTGTTTAAGAAATGAGAAGCAACTCATTGCACCAGTTGGGGTTAAATAACTTGTTGCCAGCTGAAAGATAATCGCCCATGCAGTGATTATCCAATAGGAGGCTCGTACCTATTTGCTTAGTTAAATCCAGGTGGAGACTTTTTTGGGGCCAGGCAGTGTTTTATAATTTCACATCACCTTAGAAGAAAGCAAGACTGTTAAGTCAAAGCAACAAAAAGTTGTGAATGAGAAAACTGCCAGACATATCCAACAAAGTTAAGTCAGGTGCTCTGGACGGTTTCTTTTTGTTGAAACGTTTCGTCTTTCATCCAAAAGCTTCTCGAGGCCGAGGAGTCACAACAAATATCACCTTCACATAGTGGGTCAACCAGTTTGACGGTGATAAGATGAAGGGAGTCTGCCCTCTCCCCCGCTGTCTCATCTGAGGCAACCGTAGCCAAAGTGGTTCAAAACATCAAAGTTCATGCTCAATAATCCAGATTAAAAAAAAATCCAACAGTTAAATCAGGTCCTCTGGACGGTTTCCTTTTGTTTAAACGTTTTGTCTCTCATCCATACACCAGACATGTCCAACAGTTCCAAACTTGAGATGCACAACCTTTACTCTACTCTTCATTAAAGAAGCCCACAGAGCTGTGGAACTCCACAAACAGGGAACAGAAGGAAGAGCAGAAGATCTTTAACTTCATTTAATGCCACAACGCCCTAACAACAAAACCCCTCTCTGCCCACAATTCTTGAGCAAATTTCTCTTGGTTTTCCTCCACAGCTGAAGTTCACAACACAAACACACACACAGCAGGTATCAAAACCAGCTGACAGGGGCAGGGTCCAGGATTCCTTGACAACTTAAATCAAACAAATTGCTTTAATGCCTCCATTCTCTGTCATTATGTAAGGCCCAGCCTGAGCGCTGACGGTTTTAGAGCCTGGCGTATGTGTGCACCGCTCTGTGTGTGTGTTTAGGGGGGGTGGCTGACTGCTGGGCCCCTCGGACGACCTGGCAGATATTGTTCTGTTCTGGGAAGTTAGCCAGGCTCTGTCAGCATTGGGGGTCCAGCGACGAGGAAATATTTCGCCTGAAAGAAAGCCAAGCATTTAAAAAGCTTCTAAATGTACAGGATATTCGTGCTGCAGTTGGCGGTTTGGTTTCTTTCCTGCTCACACACTGGAGCCTGTGGAAATGCATGCTTGAAACTGAGGAATGTGACTCTATACGTGTGTGCATGTGGCTCACTTTAACCGGAGTGTGCATGTGTGTCGTGACAGAAGTATAAATATGAGCTACATTTATTCAGCCGTGGCCTCTGCGTGCCTGCATGGTCTTACTCAGATTAAAACGTACACGTTAGGTTGGATGTACGCAGGTGTAGCAGGACGAACGACTCAGAAAACTGATTTTAGTTTATTCGCTCGGTTCAGAAGAGAGTTGCTCATTCAGATTTTATTAAGCACCTATTTTAATTACCACTTGGTTTAACTAGACTTTTAATTCTCATATTTTGCTGATTTTATTTTTTAAACGTTCATGTTTTCCTTCCACGTCGCATTCATTCAAAATTTGACTTTATACAGAAACTCGGAGTTCTATGAGTTGAAGAAGCACCATGTGCAGCTGATTATTCAACCTACAATGCAAATGTTAAAACTACTGTGTTCTGTCTTTAAGATCAAACATGCCGCCCTTCTTACAACTAATGTATTTATCAAGTCTAATGCCACCAGTATGTTCGACCCGAAAAGAAAGAAGATTGTAAAAGATGATGGATGGATGGAGAATAAAATATTAAAATAATAAATAAATACCAGGGATACACGATATTAGATTTTTGGCCGATATCCGCTATGCCAATATGTTTACATTTATTTGGCCGATACCAATACCAATACTTTCCCCCCCTAAACCTACTTACAGAGACTACACAGTTTTCTCTGCTGTGGAACTAAATTACATTATTCTGCAGGGT